GCACAGTTCCACAACTTGCCCTCTGGACCCGTGTCCTTTCTGGCCGGTGAAGGCCAAGACGGAAGACTTAGTTTCACTGCTGGAGATGGTCAATGCCATCTTTAAGGAGAGCAGTTTATCAAACTCTGTTAAGGAAGCTGTTGTATGGTATTTACTCAAGGAATCATCTCTTGAGGCTGACAACCTATTATCAAGAATCTAACCTTTTTGATTAATCTTAAGAAGGTTGTGGTGAGAACTCTAGGAGTACCAGATGCTTCTGATTTCCTTGTCCCATGTCAATCTGGGTTCAGACTTTGGAACAGCACATTAATTGCACTGATGATGATAATTATTTATCTTCTCTGGTGCCAGAAAAAGATTAGGTATTCACAGTTAGATCTAACACTTTATCAGTTGCCTTTGATACTATTGATTACGAGGAGATAATGACTTGCCTACAGACTGTAACAGGCGTTGATGAGGCTTCTTTTGGGCAGTTCTGTTCATTCTGTACTGAGCATTCTTAGAGGGAGGTAGTGGACAGTTCCTGGTCATCCCCAAGGGTTCTTTTGTGTAGTGTCCCATAGGTTCCATTGTGCCTCCCCTCCTACTTAATGTATATATGGGGCCAGTGAGAGAGGTAATGAGGAGACCTGGGCTGCAGTGTTTTCATTATGTTGAAGACAACCAGCTTTCTATTTCACCTGAGCCTACAAGTTATGTCAATTGCTTTACCCAGTGTTTGGTTAAGACTGGGGCATAAAATTGAGTTAGCTTACTGAAGCTCCGTCTGGAAAACATTAATGTTGGTGGGTAGGAGTAAGCAACTAGGAGATATGGCTGAAATTGTCCCCCTCATATTGAGAATATGTGTCCACCATTCATCAATAGAGTTTGCAATCCGGGTGGTGTTACTGGATCCCCAACTGCTGGTAGAAGCAGTTTCTAGGACTGTCTTTCTCCCCAGTCTTCATCTGACCAGGAGAACAGTAATTTTTTTCTACCACCATCCATGTCTAAGATTAAAGAGTGAAATGCTCCCTACATGGATCTATACCTTAAATCAAACCAGAAACTGAAGCTGATGCAGAATATGGCAGCCTACTTAATAAGAAATGTATCTTGCTAGGAGTAAATGATTTGTGCTCTACAATCTGCCCTGGCTGTCTGAGTTTCCAAATGAAGTTTAAGGTATTGATTTTGACCTTTAAGCCCTAAACTGGCTAACATCTTGGTTACTTGAGAGACCACCTCTCTGCCCATATATTACTGTCACAGCTGCACTCAGTCATGGCACTTAAGTTGGCGCTCTCTTCCTATAAAGAGAGGGAGTTGTTGGCAGCGCACATACTAGCAGATAATCTCCACTGTGTCCCTTTGCTCTAAAACAGCCCAAATCATCTGACCGTCAGGACATGCCTCAGGCTCTATTTCTTTACCCAGCATTTTGGAGACAGAGGCCTGGTCTACACTGCAGCTTAAATCGATGTAAGGTGTGAAAAAAAATCATCTCCCTGAGCAACGTAGCTTACATCGACCTAACATGGTGTCTACACTGCCCTATGTTGGCAGGAGATGCTCTCCTGCTGACTTAACTTCAACCTCTCAAGGAGGTGGAGTACTGAAGTCAATGGGAGAGCACTCTTTCATCGACTCATCGTGTCTTCACCAGACCCACTAAATTCATGACACTGCATCAAACGCAGCAGTGCCAATTTAGCGTGCAGTATAGACAAGCCCAGAGAGTCATGATAAGGGCTGGTACTTATGATAAGGAAGGTATTATTTCTTGGATTTTATTTAATCTGTGGTTCATTATTTCCTGAGTTTGTGGTAAGGAACCACTGCTTATCCAATCCTTTTATAGGACTATAACTTAAATTTTTATGGCAACAGTCTCTAGAACCTGGGATAACTGTAATTTTAGTAAATTATACATCAAAATAAATAATAATTGTGATGATTTATGAATGTTTATGTACAGCTTATGTTGCTTGCAGTGTTGGTATAGCTGTGCTGGTCCCAGGATATTAGAGAAACAAGATGGGTGAGGTAAAAATCTTTTACTAGACAAACTTCTGTTGGTGAAAGATGAGCTTTTGAGCTACACAGAGCTCTGCTACACAGACACCTGAAGAAGAGCTCTGTTTAGCTCGAAAGCTTGTCTCTTTCTCCAACAGAAGGTGATCCAATAAAAGATATTACCTCACCCACCTTGTCTCTCTATGTACATCTTATGAATTCCAGTTCGATTTTGTTAACTGTCAGTATCCTTATGTTTTTGGCTGTCTTTTACTATATTCTTACATCAAAGCCCTTGTGCTAAGGAGGAAGGGAGGAATGTTGGTGTGTCTGACTTTGAACAGGACAATCATCAGCACCTGAATAGATCACCCCTAGCAAAACAAGGGGTAGCTGCAGCCTGGGTGGAGTTCTGCCCAGCTTGTCTAGACAGTGCTAGGATTTTGAGAACTCAGATGTAGACACTGGGGAATTAGAGGGACTCAGAGCCAGAGGAAGCTTAGGCAGCACAGCACTGACTGCAAAGGTCAGAGAGAGACTGACTAGGATTCAGAGAAGAAGCCATATGCAGGAGCAGGGATTCTGAACTCCTCAAAGGTCTCTGACCTAAGTCAAATAACATTCCAGAGGCGTAAGGAAACTGAGGCAGGTTAATGAAAGTATGCATTTGCTATTTTGTGTAGATCTGTGCATTTCTTGTGCTAGCTAAAGGAATGAGTGATTGGTTTTCTGAATCCTTACAAAGCCTGCATGTCCACCTGCTTTTGTTATCATGTGTCTTTGCACAGATGAAATGCAAACCCAGAGCACCCATGATGTTGGAGCTCTGAGAAAGGATGTGCATAGCTATTGGGGAGTCAGAGGGTGAGGGGTGGCAGCACTGGTGTAGGGGGTGTAGGGCACCTGGGCTGCAGGGTCCCTTTTCTACAAATGTGTGACAGAGAACCTGTGCCCAGGAAGCATACCAGTGTTGCCAAGGAAAGAGAGAGTGCTGCAGCCTACTCAGTGCAAGGGAAGCTCAATGCCACATAGATCTAGCATGTTGGGACCCAAACACTACAGCTTGTGAGCTACAACAGGGTTGTGTAACAACAATACACCCCAGAACCTTGTCATGGAGTGTCAAGCCCATTCTCTTACACCCACTAAGAACATTCTTTTCGGTTCTGAAGTTTTCTGGTGCAGTGTTGCTCTAGATGAGGGAGAAGTTCATGGTAAGCCGAAAAACCTCAAGTTTTCTCTCTCATCATGGACTTGCTCAACCTAGAGTGTTTGCTCCCTTTGGGAGGCCAATCAAAAATAAGCTACAAAACTACAGTGCCTTATCCCAACATGGAGTATGTGTACAGAGCTAGCCTGTGTAACCATGTTTTCTATTTATCCTTCCTCACATGTTCCTTCCGTTTGTTAAACCCACTCACTACATCTTGTCTTATGTTAGATTGTGAACCATTCAGTGCAGGGCATGTCTATTACTGTGCCCCTCTGGTGCCCAGCACAACAGGGCCTTCATTCTGGGCTATGAAAAAATAAAAAGCATAAGGCATCACTGTTTGTGAAGAAGTAGTGGAAAGCTCAGCAGATGAGACGTAGGAGAGAAGTAACTCAGGCTGCAAGTCCCCAAGAACCAGCAAAACCAAGATTTTTACAAAGTGTATAGTACAGAAATGTAAGAGATGTCCCCCCACAGGAGTCTCATTACCTCTACATTCAGTGGGACTATCCTATCAGGAAGAGATATGAACTCCCAAGTCCTTTCTTTATGGCACCCAATAGCCCACAGGACCTGAAACTCAGTGGCTGCAGACTGCCACATTTACACTCCAACCACATTAGGAAAATGCCCTGATGTTACCAATGGTTGTCAGTAACGGGTCCCATTGAACTGGTATTAAACGTGGTTTAACTGCTAGAATAGAGGAGATAAATCATTGTCAATACTGTTACAGAAAACATGTTAGACAGCACATTCCACCAGGTTCAGCTTTCTGCAACAGAGTTGTAAATAGTTTTGTCCTATTCCCTCTAATAAGTAACCCATTTTAATATCTGTTGAGGGGAGTCCCGACAAGCCCTTTGCTGACGACCACTATCAAAAGGTCATTTTCCTCCTATAGATTGGCTGGTGAGGAGCTCAAGAAATCCAATACACAGACTTAGAGGTTTTCTTTCGCCTTTCAGTAGGTGGCAGGGATGTCGGTTGTGGATAATTCTGATGCTTCCTTATCAATTCCTAGAGTTGAGATTTTAATTAAAAGCATTAGCCTCTCCATTCTTATACCATTAGCACATAGGAGAAATCCATTCTGGAGATAGAGAATCTCTCCAAGCCTTATTGCTTTCCAATCCCTCCCTCCTTCTCCCACCCTTGAGGCCATGCATTGCAACTACTATCCCGACAGACTGATCTTCAAAAGTCTTCAGTCCCACTCCTCAATTATCTATAGTAATACACAGAACTCCCCTCCCTGCAGCCCAGAGAAGGGAATCCATTTATCCCTCACTGTCTGTCATGTGTGACAATCTGTACCTTTATGTTCACCACTTTTACAAGACTGATAAATTTTGTACAAAGTATGCCTGGTGAGGTATCATTTGAAAATCCATAATCTGCTGAACATTATAATCCCAGTAAAATGTGTGTGGAGACATTATATGTAAAGTTATAAAATTCTACAGTATGATGTTACTAAGATATAGTCTAAATCTCAGGAAACAGCCACAAACCAGTTCCTCAGAGACAAAAGGCAAACTGATGCCTCAGGCAGATGTCAATGAAATTAAATGGGCTATCACCTGGTTGAGCGGCCATTCTTTGGCAGGAAAAAGGGGTGTGAATGAGAATTTTACATCTTGGCAACAAACAGCTGGAGGTTCCAGTCTCCATAGACTGACTGTCTCCTGAACCTCAGCTGCAGATGATTTTTAAAGAAAAGAGAGCTATAAGAAAGGAGAACAGAGGCCTCAAAATATTCCTCCTTTCTCTCTATCCACAGCAACCACAACACCTGATAAACTTCTTTGAACTGAGGGGGGGGAAATCCTGTATGAAAGGAGTTCAGCCAGGAAGACTGCTAAGACGTGTGGTGAGAGAAATCTTTGCTTTGAATTTACTTAACTTGATAAGTTAGGTATTCGTTTGGTTTTATCTTTTATTTCTTTGTAACCAGTTCTGACTTTTATGCCTCATTACGTTTAATCACTTTCTGCAGTTAATAAACTCGGTTTATTGCTTTATCTAAATCAGTGTGCATTTGGATTGAAGTGTTTGGGATAACAAGATTTGTGCATATTATTTTCTATTGATGAAATAACGGACTTGATATGAGCATGTGTTGTCCAGAAAAGGGCTGGGCAGTACAAGATGCACATGTCTGGGAACAAGTCTTGGACTGGGAAGTTGCTGGTGTCACTCTGCAATATAATTCAGGAGTGACTGGCTAGAGCACTCATCGCTCAGCTGGAAGTAATTTACATGCTAGATGCTGTGTGAGAGCAGGCCAGGAGTGGTTGCTCTCACAGCGAAGCAGTGTAAAGGGTACCCCCAGCTGGAAAATTATGGGGACACTGTTGTTCAACGGTCCAGACTGTACTCTGGGTAATGTCACATCATGTTCCTATGGCATCATACTAGGCTACTACAGCACTCCTGACCTAGGGGATCATGAATCAAATCTTTGTTTTCCATACAGCAGAGCAGACAATGAAAGTCATGCATATCAGCTCAGACTCCATTTTTCATCTCTGTCTTACTCTGCAGAACCTGAAAGTAAAATTCGGACTTGAAGAGGGGTCAAGGCCACGAAACAGAAAGTCATATCAAAATAGCCAAGTTCCCGTTACCTAGTGTGAGAAATAAGTAGAACTGTGAACCATGTTCGTTCTAAGAATGAAACAGTGGGGGAGGAGTAGATCTGATCTAAGAAATGGAGGTCAAAAGTAATAGACAAAACATTTCAGTACACATCCTGTGTTTGCACCTGGGGCTCAGAGAGAGACACCAAAGTCAATGCAGGAAAACAGAATAATGAAGGATGTCAAGGTCTTGGATGGTACTCTGTACCCCACCCGTCCAAGGAAATAGATATACTGCAGCACCCCTCCACTCCTATGGGTAATAAGACATGCTGGAGGCTCCTCTCATTCTTGCGAGTAAAAACAACAGATGAAAGCCACAACTGGTTTCTAGTCATGCAGCTCTGCAGCACTGGACAGGTACTGAATGCACATGCCCATAATCCCAATATCACACTGGTGGAGGGGAGGGGAGCGAGGTGTCAGGGGGTACGTAGTAATGTCTGAATCCAAAATCAACTGCCAGACAACTGGCAGAGTTAGAAGGAACTAAATACTACAACTCGACTAAAAAACCTTGAAGTGGGAGTTTGAACATTCTGTTTTGCTGTCAAATCAATATGTGGGTGAGGGAAAGATTCAATCTCCCTTTGCTCTGACAAACAAGGCTCCACACCAACCATTTCCTAACACATGTATCTTGTTCTTGTGTCACACCCAAAACTAAACCTCAGACTTGCTGACTTAATTCAAAGCTTCAGGAGAACCAGTAAAGAGCAGCCAGCTGTTTACTTATCTCCTCCTCAGGTATGTCTTGAATTTTTCTCTTCTGTTTATTACCCTCTTGTAAAAAATTAGATAAGAGCCACAAAGATGTTTGATGGTTTCCTTTGTTAGCTCAGGGTGGGGTTCTCCAAGTGCCATCTGATCAGAAACAGAAATCTCTAACCAACCCTTGGGCAGCTGGCTCCTTCTCCTCAACCTCCATCCCAAAAGGCAATCTTATGTCAACCTAACTATGTGAGTGTCTACACTAAAATTTTTCTCCCGCCAATGTAACTGTCCTGCTATGCTGACTTAACTAACTTCACCTCCACAAGAGGTATAGAGTCAGTGTAGTAATGTTGACTCAGTGTCAGTGTAGACACTGCATTGCTTAAGTCTACTGTTACTGGCTTTCAGAAGCCATCCCACAATGCCTCACACTGACAGAACACTTGGTACAAGCACTCCTGGCAAGGACATGCACCACTGACACAAGGAGCGTAGTGTGGATACGCAAAAGCAATTTAATTACTGCAGCAGCTGTATGCAGACATAGCTTAGGTCAACATAATTTTGGAGTGTAGACAAACACAAACACTATTTCTCTCACATTGTGGGAGCTTCAGCACATTAAGGACAGTGATCTCAAAGGAACTCCCAAATCATCTTCACAGCTCATTTCCAAATACAAAGTTAGCAAAAAGACACTGGATATCAACATGCATTAAAAACACCAAGATAGTGGGGAAAAAACCAGGAGAGCTGGAAATGACAGAGAGGTCTACCACCAGTATCCTGTTCCATACCATTCCTTCTCCTACACAACTTCAGGGAAATCAGATGGGACACACACAGTTGATCTTAATGGGTAATTCCCACTCAGGACCTGATCTAAGGGCCACTGAAGTCAATGGAAAATACAACGAGGAGTCCTTATGGCACCTTAGAGACTAACAAATTTATTTGGGGATAAGCTTTCATGGGCTATAACCCATTTCATTAGATGCATCTGATGAAGTGGGTTATAGCCCACAAAAGCTTATGCCCAAATAAATGTGTTAGTCTCTAAGGTACCACAAGGACTCCTCATTGTTTTTGCAGATACAGATTAACACGGCTACCCCTCTGAAACCTGAAGTCAATGGGAATCTTTGGATCAGGCCCTCATTGCTCTAGAAGAAGCTGAAACCTCCTGTGCCCACAGTGTATGTGGCAGGGGTGGGAAGAAGAAAGAACACTTCACAATCAAGGGTATAAGCAACTAATAAATGTATACATATTGTACACAAACTGTTAAAATGGAGTTAAGGTTGAGAGTATGTATCAGTAATTTAAGGGTAAAAACCATTTACACGATGTTGCCATTATTCCAAAACCAAGCATTAGAAACTCAGGAAATTCAAAGTTATGGTTATACTTAAAAGAAATCCAAACATGGTAAGGCAAGAAACACAATTAAGGCACCTAAACAGCCTTCACACTGCCCTTTAGCGATGCCATTCAATAATCCTATGATTCATGCATAATAGTATTCATGAACTCTGATTAAATTTAAAGAGATGTTTTTCCCAGCACATTTTTCGTTTGGTGGCAGCACTACAGGACCAAGTTAACATTACAATAGAACCTCAGAATTTCAAACACCTTGGGAATGGAGGTTGTTCGTAACTCTGAAATGTTTGTAACTCTGAACAAAACATTATGGTTGTTCTTTCCAAAGTTTACAACTGAGTAATGACTTAATACAGCTTTGAAACTTTACTATGCAGAAGAAAAATGCTGGTTTTAACCATTTTAATTTAAATGAAACAAACACAGAAATAGTTTCCTTACCTTGTCAAAAAAAATTTAATACTTTCCCTTTATTTTTTTTTAATAGTAGTTTATGTTTAACATAGAACTGTCCTGTATTTGCTTTTTTTTTTTGGTCTCTGCTGCTGCCCGATTGCGTACTTCCTGTTCCAAATGACGTGTGTGGTTGACCGATCAGTTTGTAACACTAGTGTTCATAACTCTGAAGTTCTACTGTATTTGGATACCTTAACTGTGCATTTCTTAGCTTAACATGTTTGGATATCTTAAGTGTAACCTCAACTCTGCACTTTCTGGGTTTATAATAACTGGCTTTGGAATAACTCCGACATCTCCATAATGTTTTTTATCTTTAAGTTACTGATATGTACTCTCAAATTTAACTCCATCTTATCAGTTTTTTGTCTGGAAATGTACTTTGTTTTTAAAAATGTCATACATAAACCGTAAACGATAAACTCAAAGAAAACATTCCCATGAAATATTTCTAATGACTTGAAGATGTGTAGTACAAACTTTAAATCTTTAATTTTAACTTTTAGGAACAGATTCATCAACACACCAAAGCAGCACAACCAGTCAGAGAGCACCAACCAGTTAAGCTGGGTTTATAGCTGCTCTGCAGCACCTGAGCAGCACAAAGCAGGTAAAGCATATGAGTGAATCTGGCCCTTAATTTGCAACTGTCTTACTGGTTCAGAGGGCTGGGTTAGCGAGACTGGCATTACATGAAGGGAAGACTAGGGCTTGGGGGGAATGACTCCAGAAGTCCCACTGTCTTTGTGGTTTAGGTGTTCCCCCTTCATTTCTCAGTTCCCTCAGCAACGCTGCCTCAATGTACAATGAAGCCGAGCCAAGACAAGTGGCATGAGTAGCCTTTCCAGCACTAATATCCAAAACTAGAAGAGGAGTACTTGTGGCACCTTAGAAACTAACAAATTTATTTGAGCATAAGCTTTTGTGAGCTACAGCTCACTTCATCGGATGTGAGCTGTAGCTCACGAAAGCTTATGCTCAAATAAATTTGTTAGTCTCTAAGGTGCCACAAGTAACCTTTTCTTTTTGCGGATACAGACTAACACGGCTGCTACTCTGAAACCAAAGCTAGAATGTAGCCACGGAATCTTTAGACACCAGTGACACTTGGGCCCAGTATTCTACTAATGAGAACTCGACACATTGTGTCTCACTTCCCCTTATACACTATGTCTACACCGAAAGTACTTCAGCAGCACAGCTGCAGATAACCTGCTGTAGGGTGGATATTTTCTAAGCAATGGAAGGGGTTTTACTGTCACTGTAGTTAATCCAGCCCCTCAAGAGGCAGTGCCTAGGTCAATGCAAGAATTCTTCCATCGACCTAGCAGCATCGATGCCAGGGGTTAGGTCGGCTTAACTACATATCGCAGCCATATAGCTAGGTCAACCTAAATGTTAGGTGCAGGCCAGGCCCAAGTAATTTCAACCAACAGAATTGTAACATACAAATTAGCTGCAGAGGAAGGGTGGTAGATGGCTGAGATAAGTTTGATGTCAATTACTTCAGTTGTTGATCTGAACCAGTCTTTAGCATACACAACAGCAAATAGGTAAAATAATAATTAAAAGCTTAATTACAACTTAGTTTCTTTAAAAGATAGCCTACACAGAAGATTTCAATTCATTTTAACTGTTTGAAAAGTTTGATGTGTGTATGTTATTCCACTGTTAAAATGATTAGGAACAAAGAAAAACCTGACACAGTGCTAAGTTTCTTTAAAAACTCAGCTTTTAGTTAATTTGAACACAAATCAATTAACAAATCTATTTGTCAGTTCCCAGAAAATTCATTCTGTACTTTAAGAGTGCTGCAATTTTGTTGAGAATATGATGTATTTTTCCATACAAAACAAAGAGGTTGAATCCATATTTAAGTGCAAAACAGAAAACATTACCTATGATCACAACCAGACCCTCTAAAATGAATAAGCATCACTTTAATTAAACATTTCATCTCATTTATAGAAGAGATACAGAATTGGAAATAAATGTCTGCTTCCATTAACTCTTGGTATGCAGTGTGCATTGCTAAAAACCCTCAGAGTTTAAAAAATTAAGAAAGGGTCAGGAAGGACACCTATAGCTTTTCAGTCTCCAAATGAGCGGGGAAGGGTGAGGAGGCTCTCTGACAGGAATCCTTTGATTCATCCATTCTTGGACCAGACTTTACGTCTGTCCCTTTGATGAATAATCTCTCCTCTGCCCAAACAAATATTTCTGCCAACTTGGCAAAATGCCTGGGCAAAAAAAAATTAAAAAGTCCATTCCCAGCCTCTGTCACAAAAAGCAAAGATCTGAACAAGCAAAAAGAAAAAGTTTTGCTTGCAAAAGGGCTGTCCAGAGGAGGAGTGGGCTGCATTGCCCGGGGAGGGGGACCCCAGAGAATTCTGTCCAGTCCCCCTCAAAGGTAATTTCCATACATGATTTTATTGCCCTGGACTATGCCTCTTTGGAAAGCAGTCTGTATTTATACATTTATTGCTTTGTTACAGGGACATCTAAGAGTCAATTGCCGCCTATGGAATCCTTGAATTCATCCTCCGCTTCCTATAACTCCAGTGAGGAGAAAGCTGAGTAAGTTGCAGATTTTCACCGGCAGTGAACTAAATCAGCAAGCATGTTTTATTAATCAAGGAAGGTACAAATGCATACAACTCAATGTTTGGTTGTATTTGTTTAAAATGGAAATAAACAGGCATACCAGATACAGCCCTTAGGCTCCTGGCAAGTTGTCAATGTAGCTCTCAGTGTAATGTACAGACTCTCCCCGCACACCCAAGGTCAGACTCAGAGGCAGGATGCAGCATGTTTTAAGAGATGTGATCAGAGTCAGAGATATGGCAAAACGCCCCACCCCATGCCCCGAGAAGCAGACAAGCTAAAAGTGAACTGCAGCACAAAAAGTAAAAATGAGTTAATTCCAAATTTCTGTGCTATGTGCTGCTAACCGGACCATGTTGAGGGGAGGGGGATTTCAGAATAGAAATAAATCTGAATTAGCCATTAAAAAATTCTTTTGTTTGGTCTGGTACTTCTTGATTCTTGCAGCACTCTCAAAATATGACATCACAAATACCAGCAGTCTCACTGCAACCTCTGGTATTTGTAATTCTGGGTACAATAAGTGAACCAGGAAGTGCCAAGAGGATTTCATAGAGCAAATAAAGCATTTTGAAAGGTTAAAACTTCCATACCATAGGTTCCCCACAGCCTGGTTACTAACAACATTCAGTAGATAAATCTGGGATTAACTCAGTTTTTATTTTTGCTTTATACTCCACCTTAAGGAAAAGAAAGATACCAGCTTGCAGATCTTTACATCTCTCCTGTTTAGTGAGGAATGAAAGACAAACTAGGTGAAACCCTTACACTACTGACAAGTTTTCAGTGTGGCTCTCAGTGTAATGTACAGATTCCCGCCACAGTCTCTTTGATCAGGAGAGTCATAAATGGGGCAATATGGTAGATACTTGTTTATTATCCAAATATATTTGGCACGTTATAATAAAGAAAATAAAGACAGCTCTTGCTTCAAAGAATTTATATCTAAAGTACTGGGTGTGATCAGAGCATACTGGTAGCATATGTCTGTAACATGAGCATAATCCACTTTCAGGGGATTAAAGCAGTTAATAATTCCTTTGGAATTTAAACTATAGTATTTTAGACAACAATCCTGCAATGAGGGATACAGTGCCCTAGTTGCAAAATCTCTTGTCTCTGAGAATCTGAAATGGAGCATGAGAACACCCAGGGATCCATCCCTATATTCCAGAATATAGTTGGAAACTGGAAACAATGACACCAAAGCCCCATCAGCGTAAAACTGTAAACTGGATCAGAGTGGTGATGTTCTAAATTGCACGGAACAGAGAGCCAATGTGCAGCAATGTAATAAAGTGAGTGGAGTCACCCAGAACACACACTCCTTCCATTCTGGATAAGATACACCCAACACTCAGTTTCGGGGCTAGTGGGCTCCATTCTCAATCAGCTTCCATAATCTGTGCAAACAGTTTGAAGGAGAACAGAAGGTGAGACAGTAGGCGTTAGGATTAAGCCTGGTGGATGGGGAGGAAACTGATGTCAGACAAATTCCTGCATAAACTGTCAGAGGAGAGCAAAGCTGGTAAATCCCATGAATCTTTGTTCACTCACCCAGTTGCCAGCAGTAGCTAAAGGGGCATTAAACAGACATGGACGGATTATTTCCTTTGGGCTGGACTGTCCTTACATCCATTCTATCCACTTAAGACATTTAAAACACACCAATACACCAGTGGAATAGTCAGAGTCGACTATCAAAGTTGGCTGAAATAAGACCCCTATTAAGGAGGAGGGAGAAAGAAAACTGCCCCTCAGGCTCTGCACTGCAGCTGTCAACCAGAATAATGCCTTCTCTGATACTAGGATATGTCTACACTGGCAGAGTGACAGCGCTGCTCAGACAGCGCTGAAGGGAAACCGCTGTTGTGTGTTCAGCTGCGTGCACAATAGCGTGTTCACACTTGCAGCGGTATTCGGAGCGGTGCACCCTGGGCAGCTATCCCACAGAGCATCATCTCCTCTTCTTCTGCTGCTAAGAGCTGTGGGAAGGCAGAGGGTGTGGTGGGGCATCCTGGGTCCTGTCCAAATACCCCATGATGCATTGCTTCGCATCCCAGCAATCCCTGTGCTTCTGTCCGCATTTGGCACCATCTTTCAACGGTTTGTGTACTGCGTGCTCTGCCTCTTCGGTCTGCAGGAACAGATCCTGAACTGTTGACTAGTATGCTGCTCGCACTGACCAACACGTCATGAGTGGCAGTGGCATTATTCCTTAAACTACAAAGGTAAGAGGAGTGCGACATTGATCTCGCCACACGTACTGGCTACGACACGAGATTGCTTGTGGCATTCATGGAGGTGCTGACCACAGTGGAATGCCGCTTTTGGGCTCGGGAAACAAGCACTGAGTGATGGGATCACATCGTCATGCACGTCTGAGATAACAAGTAGTGGCTGCAGAACTTTCGGATGAGGAAAGCCACATTCATGGGACTGTGTGATGAGCTCGCCCCAGCCCTGCAGCGCAAGGACATGAGAATGAAAGCTACCCTGTCGTTGGAGAAGCGCGTGGCGATTGCACTGTGGAAGCTGGCTACTCCAGACTGGTACCGATCGGTTGCACTACTAATCGCATTCTGCTCCGAAAAACAGACACTCTGGGCAACGTGCATGACTTTGTGGATGGCTTTGCACAAATGGGCTTCCCTAACTGTGGAGGGGCGATAGATGGCATGCATATTCCAATTCTGACACCAGACCACCTAGCACATTAATCAGAAGGGGTATTTCTCTATGGTTCTCCAGGCACTTGTGGATCACTGTGGGCGTCTCACGGACATTAACGCAGGCTGGTCCGGAAAGATGCATAACACACAGTGTTCTTTCGTAACACTGGCCTGTTCAGGAAGCTGCAAGCAGGGACTTTCTTCCTGGACCAGAAGATCACCGCAGGGGAACTCAAAATGCCCATTGTGATCCTAGGAGACCCCGCCTACCCCTTAATGTCATGATTTATGAAGCCATACACAGGGCAATTTGACAGCAACAAGGAGCAGTTCAACATCAGGCTGAGCAAGTGAAGAATGACTGTTGAGTGTGCTTTTGGCCGTTTAAAAACCCGTTGACGCTGCCTATATGGGAAGCTGGACCTGGCCAATGACAATATTCCTATGCTTATAGCCGCATGCTGTACACTCCATAATATTTGTGAAGGGAACGGTGAAAGCTTCACTCACGGCTGGACCGCTGAGGCTCAGCACCTCGAGGCTAAATTTGAACAGCCAGAAATCAGGGCTATTAGAGGGGCACAGCGAGAGGCCATAAGGATCAGGGATGCCTTGAGGCAGCAATTTGAAGCTGAAAGCCACTAATATTTGTTGCTATGCTTGAGAGTGCAGTCCTTGTAATACTAGGAGGTTATTGTGATTGGTGCAGATGATGCAATATGAAGGTTTAAGGTAACTGCCTGTTGCTTTGCAGGGCTCTGTTTGCTTTCAATTAATAGAATAAAGATTGCTTTCAAACCAACACAATTCTTTTATTAAAAACAACAACTGGAGGAGAGCGACAACAACAACAAAAAACACATCAGAACTGAGCGGGATGGGAGGTCCCAGGAGGAAGTGGGGTCCTGGGATGGTTAAAGATTTGTGTATGTACAGGGATCATATCCAACCTTCTCCTTTGGAGTACAGTGCAGCAGGTATTGTACTTCAACAGGGATAAACTGCAGAGGGACTGGTGTTGAGTGCAGTGGGTACTGGGAGTCCGCAGGGCTGGACTGTGATGGGGGAGGAGTGGAATGCTGCAGGTACAGACTGGAGCCAGGAGGTTGATAAGAGTGTTTTGACAGTATCCGGGGGCTACATGGGAAAGAATTTTGCGACAGCAGCTGCACGGGAGAGCAGGCACATAGTTGCTCAGTTTGCAGTGCTAATATCGCCTGGAGCATGTCTGTTTGGCGCTCCATAACTTTTGAGAGCCACTCCGTGGCTTCATTTTGGCGCGCCATGTTCTCCTTTTGGTCCCTCTTCTCGCTGTCCTGCCACTCCTTCAATTCCTGTTTTTCGGCCACGGAGTGCATCATAACCTCACACAAAGTCCTCTTTAGTTCTTCGTGGCCGCTTTCTAATTCTGCACAGCCGTTCAGCTGGCGATAACAGAGGGAGGTTGGGCTTCCACGGTCCTCTCTGTGAAGCCAAAACACAACATTTTATAGAAGCAGTATTTTTTGCAACACATAGAACACTGCTTCAGTGATTTAAAACACAGCCAGTATTCACACCTGTCACTAATTGGCTGACCCCAGGCAAACACACATGAGCCACAAGATCACCAAAATGGTGAGCAGCTGCAGGGGCAGGGTAAATCAGTGTTCCCGGTCCCTACTGTACACTGGGCACATGGCTCTTGGGGAGAGCCAGCACTGTAGGGGGGCCTGATAATCATTCCTGTCCCCACATTTTCCACACGCTGAGTTCATTATGGAAGATATCTCGCAGCAGAGGGTGAGCAGAGAATCAAGGGAGGGTCTTCTCCAAGACTGCGGCTTCTGCCCTGGCCCTTATGCGGCTCGCCTGTGTGCAGCAATGGTGCAGTGTTGGCAGAGTGGCGTGGGAAAGTTACCGTTAATGGGGCAAGAAACAAAGCAGTTCTGCCAAAGAACCTGCGGCAGCGGATTGCCCAATGTCTCCATGAGAGTTTCCTGGAGATCTCTGAGGCAGATTCTTGTGAGGGAGTCAATCAACACCCTGTTCTGCCACTCAGACCAGGCATGTGGTGTTATGCGCATCATAGAGACACAAGCCTGATTTCTGTAACCCTCCTGCTCCTAACAACTCGCTTCAGTGATTCCCAAAATCAAATCCACTTACCGGGGCTTCTCTCCTGTTTGTGCTTTGTCAAGATCCAACAGCTGTGGCTGGCTAGCCTCCTCCGGGGTAGAAAAGAGCTCTGGGATGCATGCATCTCTGACCTCCGAGTTGTCCTCTGCCTCTGGGTCCCCCTCCCCCAAGATTCCCTCCTCC